CCTGCTACAGCATACGCTACCTCAAAGCACGCTGTTATTGGCCTCACAAAGTCAGATGCGCTCGCTTTCGCGCACAAGGGTATCCGGATCAACGCCATTTCGCCGGGATATGTAATGACGCCTTTGGTACAAGAGCACATGGGTCAGGGTGAGATGATGGAAACTGAAAGGAAGAAGGTCCCTGTTCACCGCTATTCGGAGATGGAGGAAATCGGCGACTGTATTGCCTTCTTACACTCAGACGCGGCGAGCTACATGATCGGCGCCACATTAGTCGCGGACGGAGGATACACAATTGTCTAAACCTTTGTACTAGCCCAGCGCCTTGATAATTCGACATTTCCTTTACACGCTTGCTACGATACATGATCTTTTCGTCAAACAGATGCAATTATGTTGATTACATCGGTCGCATCTCGGTAGAGGTTCTCCACCCCATCGCTCCACCCCGATCCCCGCAAATTGGGAGACGCAACCTCCGTATCCGAAAAAGGATCTCGACTACCCCAAGCATTTGTACGATTGGCTAATCGACCTTCCATCGGCTCTATCACGATTACGCGACCTCGAAGCCCCAGATTTTACGTCTGTGCAACGTTCGGAAATGCTTTGCCAGACGGAAAGGCATGAATAGCCTCTTCAACAGTTTACCCACATCACGAATCGTCACCATATCTCGAGACCCCAACCCTGCTCCAACTCACTTAGCGTGACCCCAGATCTCAGCGTACACTAAATTGACTCGCTACGTGGAGTCATTCGGCCAGCACCTGACTCTCCATGACTGAGCAGTCGCGGCGCAAACATGCCGCAAACAAAGTTTAAGAACGGTGAAGGCCTCGGAGTGGTCGCAGCGTTGCCTTAAGATCCAGCTCCAACTTTGTCTTGCGATTCACCTTTCTCATTAGTTATTTATCCTTCACAATGGCAGACGGATTTATTGTCCCATCAACGGCTGCGCCAGAGACTGATGCTCAGCACCGGTTACGTGGGCCCATCCACGCGCAACGCCATGTACGCATCGTGTGTATCGGCGCAGGTGCTTCGGGACTTCTGATGGCATACAAACTGCAAAAGCACTTCACGAATTACAGCCTTCAAGTTTACGAGAAGAATTCCGAAGTTTCGGGCACATGGTTCGAGAACAGATATCCGGGGTAAGTGAAGATCATATTGATTGCTGCGGGGCGTGATGCACCTTTCGCCCCGCGATCTACCGAAGCGACTGCAGCGATGCGGCGCAGTCGACCAACCTTGCTAATATCCGCTTCCAGATGCGCATGCGATGTTCCCTCCCACAACTACACCTGGTCATTTGAGCCCAAATTGGACTGGTCCGCTGTATACGCCAGCTCCAAAGAGATCTTCGCCTATTTCAACGATTTCGCCCGCAAGTACGGTCTACGCAAATACATCAAGACGCAACACCAAGTCGCTGGCGCAATTTGGAACAAGCAAAGGGGCGGATATGATGTACAGGTCAAAGACCTGGAGAGTGGCCAGACCGTCAATGATCATTGCGACATCTTGATCAATGCAGGCGGCATCTTGAACAACTGGCAATGGCCTGCCATCCCGGGTTTGGACAAATACAAGGGCACATTACTACACACTGCGAATTGGGACGACAACGTCGATCTCAGAGGTCGCCATGTCGGCCTGATTGGGAATGGGTAAGTGCATTTGGAATGACCTTTAACTCCGCGACTGACCACTTCAGCTCCTCCGGCATCCAAGTTCTCCCTACTATCCAACCGCACGTCAAGAAAGTTACAACCTTCATCCGCGAGCCAACATGGGTCTCACCGGTCCAAGGCCTCGAGCAGCACGTCTTTACCGACAGCGAAAAGCTCGAATTCGCTACCAAGCCTGGCGCATTGGTTGATTACCGAAAGAACATTGAACGGGGCCTCAACGGCCAGTTCGGCATCTTCCTCAAGAACACAAACGTCAACTCCGAGACAGAAGCCTACTTCCGCCAGCAAATGACCGAAAAGCTTAACAATGAGTATCTACAAGAGCGCTTGATCCCGAACTGGCATGTTGGCTGCCGAAGACTTACACCAGGCGTTGGCTATCTTGAAGCATTAGGAAAACCCAACGTACAAACCGTCTACGGAGAGATCAACTCCATCACCGAACGCGGCTGCCTATGCGACGATGGCAACGAATACCCCATCGACGTGCTCATCTGCGCCACCGGCTTCAACACATCCTTCAAGCCACGTTTCCCCGTAATAAACTCCTCCGGTGCCAACCTACAAGATGCCTGGGCCAAAGAACCACGCTCCTACTTCGGCCTCGCCGCTGCCGATTTCCCAAACTACCTTATCTTCCTTGGGCCCAACTGCCCCATTGGCAACGGTCCTGTCCTCAGTGCTATCGAAGCGCAGGCAGACTACATGTGCAAGCTCATCGATCGCTTCCAAACACACAACATATCGACATTCGCCCCGAGAGCTGAGGCCATCGATGAATTCGTCGCCTTCAAGGACGAATACATGAAGCGTACGGTATGGAACGACGGCTGTCGCTCATGGTACAAATCGCTCGGCGCTGACGGCCCTGTAACCGCGCTCTGGCCTGGCTCTACACTGCACTACATCGAGGCGCTCATGGAGCTCAGGCTGGAGGACTGGGATGTCAAATACACTGGCAACAGGTTCTCATGGCTGGGCAATGGATACTCGCAAACGGAGATTGATCCTACGGCCGACTGGGCATTCTACGTTAGGGACGGAGATGATGATGAGCCGATCTCAAGGCTGAGAAAGTTGCAGTTGATTAACAAGAGTGGGACAGTTGAGCCGAGTGAAGGGGTGAACTTTGCAGGCGGAAGGGCAAAGACGGATGCGGTGGTGGAGTCGAAGCTTTAGCGATTGTGTTGTTTCTATATTTGTGGTGCACAGGAGGATTCTCCAAGGCGTTTTCAACCAGGGTTACGGAATGGGTATGCATCGTAGTAGGCCAATGGGCGATCTTTTCATTTCCAGAGAGTTGACACATCAACTGTTGCCCTGCTCAGTGTTCTCAATCGCTGCCATCACGTGCCAGAGCTAAATGTCTAGCATACCTCGGCCGAGCTCTGAAGAGGCCGCGCTGCACCCGATGTACCTAGGTATACAGCCCTTGGATGCCATGCGAACACGTGTGCACTCCGCGCAAGCAATGAAACGTGAAAATAGCAAACATGTAACTGCCTTTCGCACGAACGATGAGTGAACCGGTTCAAAATAGATGAGGCGACAGCGACACCCACGCGAGCTGACTTAAGATTTGCGCTAGCGCAGCACGGCTCCCCAACCCGCGGCGCCCGTCGATTCTGCGAACCCACCAGCGAAACACTCCGACACTGCTCGCGCCCAGCACCCAATTACTGCACGGGGAAACAGCGACCGAGCCTTTGGAGATCCGGAGAGTGGGAGTTCGTGTTCTTATCTGCGTGTAAGCATTATACATGATCGACAGCGTCAATGAGCGTTGCAGGCGCCTCGCGCAATAGAGTGTCCAGCTGAGGAACGACGTCGTTTGCGAAAGCGAGCAGCGCGGACACAGACGTCACAGGTAGACAAGCAGTGTGCAAACAGTTCTGTTTGACACTACGCGACTCAAAAGATGTTTCTAAACTGTCAGATCAGCTATTTCCAGCTCTCGCTCTACCACATGTCCCTTCAAACGTGCCAGACACAGAGCATCCGCGTCACAAGCTCCACGATTCAACCCTGTGGACATCGCTCGGCTAACGAGGATCGTCCTATCTCACCATCCCCAACCCAGCGCGCCAACGCACAGACATTACCTATCCCGGCGCTCGGAAACAGAGACGACGCGTTTCGGTAGCTACTATTTCGATATTGGGCGGATGGATGATCGCCGGCGTAGTACCAGCCATGCGTGGGTAAGCTGTACAACTGTATGGATGTTGGGGTAGAGTGAGGGACGCCATGCCGTGTCAGGGGTGTAAGACATGCATCTTGACTGCGTCTTGACGTTTTGGACAACGGGTTAGGGTCATGGAGAGTAGAGTAGGGGTCTCCAGACGCGAGTAAGACCGGTAGGGAATGAGGAAGCGGGCGAGATGTATATATTCTGCTGCCTTTCGCCGTGGAGATAGAGCATCATCCAGCAAGCTTCTACTTCTCTCATCAACTCTACACAGCCTTACTGACTACTTATCTTCACTATTACTGCCGGCCAGTTCCTTTAATCCTCTACCAAATCTTCAAGCAACAACCAATCAGTCAAGATGCCTACTTCCCAGATCTCCACTCCCCTCAACGGTGTTGACGCCGCTGTCGTCATTGCCGCTCTCCACAACCACGACCTCATGATCAAGACCCTCTGCCCGGCACTCGTCAGCTACGCTTTCGAGTCCGGCGACAAGACTAATTGCGCTACCTACACCGTCACCGACAAGAAGCCCATTGGTCAGGTAGGATGACCCCTTCCTCTCCGCTTTTCTCCTTCCTTAATACAATACTGACCCACCACAGACAACCTACAAGCTCACCCTCACCAACGTGTCCGAGGGTGTCGACTCCCTCGTCAACGCCAAACCCCCCGTTGGTGTCCTCACCATCAGCGGCAAGTGGCGTGTGACTGGCGGCAAGCTCAGCGAGGAGATTGACATTGACGCCAACTTCATGATGAAGAAGGTTGCTAAGAACAATGTTGAGAAGACCCACCCGGAGCAGCACATGAAGCTCTTGGAAGCTGCTCAGGCTTAAATGAGTGGTATGGTTAGATGATGGCGATAGATGAGGAAGGGATGCATTGGATGGAGCATTTGTTTGTTGTTTAAGTTTTGTGTGAGCATTTTGTTTGCGACGGGTGGGATGAGGGTGTACGCATAGCTTGGTGTTCATGTTTGCAATGAAGCATTTTATTGTTATCTATACTACGACTTCTCCAAACGCGATGACTCGACCATAACATTTCACGACGCAACAGTTACCAAGCATATAAAAAGTGGTCAGCCCGTCCAAGCGTAGACACACAAGTCAGGCCATATTTTGCAATGACCACACAAGTCCCAGACCGAAGCACAGAGCTCGTGATTGTGAGGGCGCCGACCGCGACAGTGAGAGGTAGCCACGCCACACCATTGTCGCATGCTCCCATCCGTTTTCGCCCAACTGTGTCCTGGGGGCTGAAATGCGTGTGTAGGTGGCGCTGTGGCAACAGCTTGGACTTTCACAGTTTGAGTGGCAGTCTGCGTTACGTGTTCCATGATCTGCACCACCTGTGTGGTCTGCACAACCTGCGTAGTCTGCACAACCTGAGTGACAGTCGTTTGCACGTACTGAGGGATCTGGACATACTTTGCCACAGTCTGCGTGGTAGTGGTTGCAAAGTACTGAGGGACCTGGACATACGAAGGTACCGTCTGTATCTGCGTAATCACTGCAGTCGCGTGTCGTGTAAACGTCGTGTACGTGGGAATGACCTGGTACGAGGTGCACGAGCCCAGGGTCGGAGTAGCCAAGTTTCGATTCGGCGTCTGGGTTGGAGCAGGCGAAAGTGTAGTCGTAATAGTCACCGTGGCTTGAGCACAGTGTGATTCGCCGTTGCCGCCGTGAGTTGATCCGGGAGCAGCATGGTGGCCGCTACTGTGTCCGCTACCATGACCTCCATGGTGGAATAGAGCGTCGAAAGGGTTCGGAAGACTATGAAGGGGGTTTGGGATATGGTCCAGAATATTCCTGGCGGCACCAGTAGCATCCTTGATCAGTCTGTTTGCCGTGCCCGGAATGATGGAGTCGACACCTTGCATAGCTGACTCAACCGACTGGGACACTGTATCCAAAGCAGGGGCAACGCGGTTCGCGCCTTCTTGGATCTTCCCACCTAGAGTTTTGGCAAATTCCATGGTATTCCTGTAATGGTTGGTGAACTTAGCCATCATTCCAATGGGATCGGCAGCAGGGTCGAACGGCAACAGCGCAATGCCTTCTACACCTGCGACTGGTAGATTGGCGAGCGTGTTGTGACTCAGTTGAACGAGGTTGCTGATTGCTGGCTTGTTCAATAGTTTGGCTCCTACAGCTTCGGCCAGCTCTGCGGTGTTGGTTGCGAGTTCGCGATTGAGGTATTCGAAAGCTGTGGCCAGACTGCCGGTACTGTCGACCAAGCGAATCGTCTCTTCCAGTTGACTTGCGAACTGTACTGCCCGCGCGGTCTCAACCTTCATGTCTTCTAGTTGGCTCACCAAGACTTCTTTGAGACCGCGATTCAGTGAGTTGGCGACTCGACCCGCAACTCCAGCTTCAGCCTCCTTTATAACGTCTTCAACATCGGGGAGGAATTTGTCGCAGATACTCTTAGCCAGAGCAGTTCCGAGGCTGTTGGTAACAACACTACCAATAAACGCGCCAGGAACAATGCCTTGCTCCATCTCTGGAGCCGATGTGCCATTTCCATCGGTGCCGTTGCCTTGTGGGTAAAGTGTTTTGCCGGCCTCTTGACCGACAACGGCGCCAGCCATGCCCCCTGCTCCATTGATGATAGCGTTGCAAAGACCCCCAGTGACGCCGTTGTCTGCGATGCCGGTCGCAGCAGGAACCAGCAGGGAGCTGATGAAGGCAGCGGCGACAAGGCCATTCTCCTTGTCGGTACGATCTTCGCGAGAAGAAACCGTGAGGTTTGAAGATGGCGCGGCTTCGGCAAGAAGACTGTGGGAGGTAATCCAGATTGCGGGTAGGTTACCTAAAGACCCGTCGAGGAGGGCGTTGAAGTCGATTTGGAGATCTGGCTCGATGGATTGTCGTGCCGTTAAGTGGCCAGCCGGTGCTATGGGTACACCTGCGGTTAAGCCGGTGAGACAGAACGTTGCCCATGCAGAGCGGTAAATGCTCTGGACCAGATGCATTTTGGAAAACTGGAGGTCTCTGTCGAACTAGACTTTGTTGTTGTCTGTAAGTCGGATTTAGTCTTTACTGGTGATGTTAAAAGTGTATCGAAATCTGAATCTAGACACAAGCTTGGAATGAAAACATTTGAGGGGATTGCATATGCTTTTATAATAAGTACAGTCCCAGCACAGTGGAGCTATGCAGTTCGTGTGCCAAATCTCGCAATGCTGTACCGTAGTTACCATGTCCCGGTCTTCGCTCCAAACCCTAACGAACTATTGAAGCTTTTTCATGTTTACCATGGTTCGGTGAGAATACGAATCGCATAAGGAATCGCTATGAATTTGGAGTGGTCGTAAACGAGGACGGTAGTCGCGGGTCTCGACACGAACCTTGGAAACCATGATTGAGGCTAGCGAATGCCCAAGTCGCGAGCCTACCCCCGCTTGCACCAATGAACATGCTCTTCACACGACCCTGAACTATGGTCACTGAAATGCTTGGTTCAGTCTCACTGTTGTGAGAGCCTTAATCATCTTCTTGTAATACTTGAGTCATACTGAATTCAGGTTGACGAAGGGTTGCGAGGCTCTCCCACAGTCGAAAATAAATCCACACTAATCATCGTTGAACCTGCCAGGTAGTCGCCACATCCAGTCGCAGTCTCCCTGCCCTGAATATTGGTGTATAAAGTCAGTACATATCTTCACACGCAGTACGCACAGAGACACTCACAGCCGGTGTACCAGTCCAGAACCTCTGTGTAGTCACTTGTCGCTCGGAACTCTGCCAAAGATATGGGAAGGGATTCGCTGCGCGTGCTTTCATCATCACGAATCTTGCGTCTTCGGCGGAAGCAACGCGCGGGCGGTATCTCTTTTCCGTGATTTCTGACCTGTAATTCTTTACTGTTCGTGACCTGGTTTTCCATGCCCAGTACGAGCGTGTCCAGGGATGGACAGCTAGATTGGTTTTCTAGATGCGTAAAGAAATCTTTTGCAAATAGATGAGCTTGGCGCTCGATGTCTCCATAAACATCGTCACTCTCCTCTCCGAAATCATGGGAGTCGTGACACCACCTTTCCCGAAGTTGAAGGGTGCGTAGCTTGGTCAATTTGCAGATGGGTGACTAGGTATATGTTAGAGATGGAACGTGAAATCAGATACTGTACAATCTTACCAAGTCTGGATCGAACCCGCCTTTGTAATTTAACATTGTGTCAGGGTGAAGATTGAACGCGAGTTGTTCCAAGTTTGGACATGCTAGAGATATCTCTTCCCAATATAAAGGCCCATCCGCCTCTAATTCCGTTCTAGTCGCCCACATGTGTATCGAGAGAACAACAAGCTGCTGTCCAACAATCGCCAGAATTTGCTTGAAGGACTCCAACGTGAAATCTATCCACCCCCTATCACTCCACTGCAAACACAGACTTTTCAATTCAGGACAGCGGCTAATCAACTCTTCGACGGCGTCATCGTCCTCTTCGTAGGGAGTATCATCATCCGGGTCTTCCTCCTCGTCATCGTCGATTAGCCCCAGTCCTAGATGTTTCAACGATAAGTCCTGGTCGCCGAGCTCATGTACCAAATTGGAGATGAACCTTTGGCTACAGGAACATGCCCAAAGAGTCAAATGTGTGAGCTGAGGAAACGATATAATCTTGCTGAGCCCATATGTATCGATGCCGAGAGGGATTCCGGAGATTGAAAGTTGGCGAAGCTTCTCTAGGCGCCCATACGATTGTCTAGAGACGAAAAGGCTTCGGCGAGTCTTCGGCTAGTATCGTCTGAATACCTCTCAAACTTGGTTCCAAGGTACAGTCTCTCCAGATCCTTATACTTGCCGATGTCCTCCAGGGAGTCCAGAAAGTTCTCTTCCTCCAATTCCGACCAGGTTTCTTCTGGATGGGGGAGCCAGAGGTCCGCAGTTCGCACACAGTCGAGGTATTGTAATTGAAATAGGTCCTCTACTCTTAGGTGTACGTGTGTTAATGTGCGCATTTGTTTAAGGAAAAATTTGCGGGCTATATTCGCAGGCAACGGTAGGGCCGAGAGGAACCTATTACAATTCAGTAAAGTTCTGACATGACAGTCCGCGAGGTTATGACGAGAACATGCCACAGGCTGGCATGTGAGGCATTCCGAAGATCGAGGACGCACCGGAAAGATTGTAGGCGGTCCCGAGGGAAATACGCTAGTATTGCTTCTATCGTACTACTTTGAGCAGATGTCAACCTATCTTCACGGTCAAAGCGTCGATGCGGCTTGGTCTGGAACTCGGGAGCTTCTGCTGGGGGAAGGCTGTCCATCAAAGTCAAGCTCCTTGTAGCGTCAAGATGCGCCTCGGCACCTGCGGCCATGCAATTCTCGAAGCGTGCCACTTCCGATGGATCGAGTACGTTGATGGTGACCTTCCGATACAGTCGAGGCCTGGCGAGGTCGCATAGCGCTTTCGACGTCAGACATAGGGCCTGGAGGTGCGAAGGCAAGTGGATCTGCTGGACTTAGCACATCGGCCATTGGGAGGCGTCTCAGGGTCTCTGCGCCTACGTAATCGAGTATCAGAAGATGTACATCTGCCGGCAGCACCGGGAGGGCCGACATGGTCGCGTGCATTTGTTGAGCAGGTCGAGTGGAGGAACGACGCGTGGGCGCGTCCAACGCCGCAGGCGGGGCGGCGCGTGCTAGGCTCTTGGCACTCAGCTACCACTTGAGAACGGCTTGTAAGCCGCCGGCTTACTTCCGCCCGGACCACAACATCCACCTTTTTACATACCGCTCATTACATTTATTACGCCGTCACATTTGATGCACTCTTAGATTTCTACAAGTCATTGCAGCTTGATTCTTAGGAGCTAAGCTATGTACAATATTGCTCCGTGTTGAGAGTCATCAGGATCAGCCACGCATGTGACACGGCCCACGACACTACGCTGTCTTTTCTACCCAGGGCAATTTACTCCTCGGAGAGAACGTCCTTCTTCTCCTTCGGGGGCCTCATTCCACAGTACAAGCAAGTATCGGGGTATCCTGTCCACGGGCTTCCCTTGACCGGTACACCACCATCTGCCGTCCACATGTTTACGGGTTGAGGGTTCTGCCTCGCGCGGGGATTGACGCCGACATCGATGGTAGCGTAGAGCCCATCTTCGATAGTCTTGCCAATGAGCGAAATCTTCATCACTGGGTCGTCGCCACCCTGCTTCGCCATGTTGAAGAGCGCATCAACTGCGTTGGTGGTGATGGCTTGCTTGTTCGTGTTGTAAGGAGAAGTCTTCTCAACTTGGCCTAGGAAGTTCTGCTCGATATAAAACTGACCGACGTGCGAGATCGTACCGCCTTGAATGGTATTGTTGGGAAGGAGCTTAGCACCATGGTGGATGATGGCTAGGGTTGTCAGTTAATACGTTGATAAAAGACAGGAGTGAAGCGTACTGTGGAGATGGTTTGTGCGGCCGACGTAGTGTCCTGGGATAACGGTAATGAATGTAGCGGTACCATTAGCGCCGGTGGGTTGCACGCCGCGAAGAGCATTGGTCGCAATAGCGGTAGCAGAGCCGTCGCCATTGCCCTTCGCCTGAACACCCGTGTAGACACCAGTGGCGTTACTTCCCCACATCTCAACGTAGGCATCGGTGACAGGCTTGCAAGATGAAGTGTCGATGATGTTGACGTCCAAGTGGGTGATGGCACCCTTCTCTCCGGTCAAAAGGTCCTGACGAACGAGCTCACCGGTGACCCCTATCAATATGTGAGCCAACCTGTCTCAAGAGATGCAACCTTCTCCACTCACAGTATGGACCCTCAGTGGATTCAGGGTCAAGCGTGCATGCTGCCTCGGCACCGTAGCTCTCCTCGACTTCAGCGACGTCACGACGGACGAGCTCGTGTTCTTTCGCGAAACCAGCTGCAACCCGAAGCTCGTGGAGCCTTGCCTCACGCCTCTGATGCTGCTCCCGAACCCACCCGGTCTCGACGAGATCCCTTTTACACGCCTGAACACTTCGACGGTTGGGATGATCCAAATGAGCCTGCCTCCTCAAGATCTCCTTGTTGGTGTTGCCACCAGGATGCGCGACAACACCGGTAGCCAAGAGAATGGCAGCGAGGGCTTGTATGAGCTGAACCATGATGTCTGCAAATGCTCTGTGGACGTGAGGAGGCTCAAGGTGATCTCAAGATGCCATGTAGTCGGCCTTCTTATACTTTCCGGTTGCTGCGCCTTGGTGCGGTATTCCTGCAGGTGCTAATGACATCGTTCTGGATCTACACATCTGTGCTGTCGCTGTTCTCGTCACCGAGCAGTCTAAACTGCGTTCCCTGTTGTGTGCTACTCTCCACAGATTGTCTAGGATGAGGTCCATAATCAACATCGCTGTGATAGGCAGCGGCAATTGCTCGCTTCGGTACACGCGCCGCAGCTAGATTAGCGTTCATCTAGTGCCCGATCTTGGCGGCGGAGTGCATGCGGCATGGTAGTCTTGGTACGACTCTCCAGGACGACGTGTGGCTAATGTCGACCAGTCGTATATTAACCGGAAGTGCTGCGCGTGGTGATCGGTAGTTGAATGCGGTGTGATGCGTCCGCGTAATGATGCGAATCTGGATCTATACGTCTAAAAATGCACAAGCGAGCATCCCCAAGCTTGTACAGGTAAACACCTTCTGGTTCGAGGTTGGCGGGATGCTGTTTGATGCTGCACCTGAAGACAGATACAAACTCGTTGAATCTACTTAGCCAGTCTCGGTTAAGCGAGGGGAGGGCGGTTGGATTTTACTGGGGCTTACACATGTATAGTCGGGCGGCCAAGACACCATCTGGATATACTTTTGCATTGATGAAAACCGGCAGGCTCGTAAGGTGGAGCAAATGGCATGACCCGTATTTCTCAGCACCAACAATGTCTTCGAACGGGTCGGGCCTATGGAGCCGAGTGTGCGTGTCTCATGTGCCTGGATGGATGCAGATCCTGGCAGCTGCCGTATGTGACATGGGACCGAAGATGTCACGTAGCTGGGAGCAGCGCTCTGTACATGGCTCGATCTTCTACCCACGTTCACCGCGGAATGATTTCCACTTGTCGTAAAGCCGGTGACATACTTCTTACCGGGCTCTAGCAGTCGAGACCATGAGACCGATTCCTCTCACTCCTCGGAGCACTCGCTCAAGATCAGCTACTCGGTTCCGAGAGGTGGACTGTCCTTGCGGTACCCTTCGGACAATACTCTCCCCCTCTTCGACGATATTCATTCATTCCTCAGCGCTCAAATTAGCACGTATATTGTCGATGTTTCCGTAAGGTGATTATGGTGAGCAGACCGCGCATCGTCAGCACCCCCGTCATAGGCTATGGATATCCGGCAGCCCAAGCGGCGATATGCCACCAGCAGGAGCGTGTTTGAGTCGAGTACGCGCGGTTGAGATAGCAGTATCGGGAGCCTTGATACGCAGGTTTGGAAGGTGAGTGGCTTTCACATAATAGAGAGCTCGGAATGCACACGTGCCAGGGGCATTGTGGGATGCGTAAGACCTCATCATCAGTATTGCTGCCGCAGCCGGAATAAGGCAACCAAAGAAGACAATAACGCGACTATGTTTTACAAGAGATATTAGCAGTACAGGAAATTCCTTGCTAGGTCCTCTATCTGTGCGTAAAGCCGCTCTTGCGCGCCGGCAAAAAGTGCCTAGGCATGGCTCACCCTGCGTGGGTTTCAAGGTGTCGCTGCAAAGAAGGAGCAGCCTGCGACTCCTGAACGGAAAACACAGACCTGCTGCTCTTAGAGTTGTGGCAGTAGGTATAGTAACGTGACATAAGCTTTGCGATTTTCTGGAGGCTGGAGCTTCGCAGTCCGGAATGTTCTCCATGAGCTAAGAACTGCGCTAGTCGCCATCCGGGTCTGTGCAAGCGACCTAGAGCCGTGCCTTCCGCGCTCCTGGCCGAAACACGATCCTCGACAGCTGAAACCCACAACGCCAGGACAGCCCCGACACCAGCGTCTTGACGATGTTTGGTAGTCCTTCTCGCATGCTCACCGTGACGCGATCAGCCCAGCGCCACACCTCCGTTGCACATTGAGCGAATGGGAATGCTCATCAGCTCCGTGCCCCTGGCGGCACTCCTTATAGTATCAGCATCGCATGCCTGCGAAGTTAACTACAGTGGCGAAACGGGTTGGCGTCTGAGGGTGATGAAGAAACGACGAAACATTGCAATGCTTTTGCAAAATCAATATAGGCGTTCATGCTCGCTAGCACTAACTTTCTTTACTTGACCGTCGTCATTCCAGCTTTCTCACGCACGCATACAGCAAGATGGCGACTTTTCTCAACTCTCCCGGAACACCTGCACCCGCACATACCTTCTACCATGACGACAGCGCACCTCGAAGCCACAAGGCAAACCTGTCTGGCGCAACTATGCTGGACTTGTTGAGTGGCCCCGAAGGATCCATCGCCGCAGCCTATGAGTCCTCGAGCGTGCATCAGCGTTCTTCTAGGTCGAGGCGGCCATCCCAAACCTCGATCACCAAATCTCAATTACGCCAGACCAACCGCACTCTAATCGAAATCATCCACAATGTTCAAGCCGAGCTAGCGACACAGAGAGAGGCAATGCTTGACATGCAAACACGGATCCTTCAGCTTGAAAGTGCCTCGCAAACATTCAACCAGGACCTTGGCCCGCGTCATACAATCGCCGGCCATCGCAAGCGGTCTCAAATCAGAAGCGCAGAGGGCGCTGCTCGCGAAACGCAGGGACGTTGGGACGCATACCAGAAAGATGTAGACATGCTTGGCCCTCCTCTTATCGCGAACGAGTTCTGGAAGTCACCTAGCCGTTTCTCTGGCTTCAACTTCAACTTCGATCTACTTGAGACGATACCGAAGTCTCTACATCCCCCTCCTCCAGATGTGGATGATGTTCCGAGTCTTTCTCCAGATGAGCAGCCAGAAACATATACGCCGGGGCTTCGCCGGATTCCCGCCAGAATTACCCGGATCAAGACATCCGATCCCACTACGATGTACCATGATGCGGTGAGCGACATCAAAGAACACGTCGTAGAGTTCGACAAAGTAAATGCCCCGATGCCTGTCAAGCTCCAAACACCGCCACGAAGTTCACGCAGCAAGTTGACATCGATGTATAGCCGGGATGATGAAATTACGGCACTACCCCGGATTCCCTTCCAGCCGGCACCAAGCACACATAACTCACATCGCAGCTTGATGGGTATCAAAAGCTTGCTATTGTACAGGACATCATCGAGGAGTCAGAAATCTGACTACCCTCCATCGGATCATCGACGTTCAGGCTCTTCTTTACGCTGTTGAGTGTAAGGTGGCATTGCGGCGCAAGAGTGACGTTTGTATTGGTAGCAAGAGAACCGAAGAGAAGGGAAATATCAGTTGGGGTCGAAAGGGAATAGTTCGCGATAGACGTGTAAGTGTTATGAGGAACCTATTACGCTGTGTTACCACCGCAGTTGGTCTGGACCACAGCTTCCAATGCTTTTCTACAAGCTGAGTGCGCCGCTCCGAAATATAGTTCAGAGTAATGCATACAATATGTCACCCGAATGAGCACTTTCATCATAACTGTGACGTGACAAATGCATGACCTCGTGGACGAGCAAATAGCGTGAACATGCCTCGGAGTTAAGGCGGCTTGGCATTTCTCGCGCTTTCCACCACGCAAAACGTCATTACCCGTTACATATATCATCGCTCCGCCTTCCACCTTTCCATCGACAACAACATCGCAAAGGCACACACATCATGGCGTCTCTGTTACGGAGACCCTTCGCCATCACGGCAACATTGCGACAAGCATCGCCGAAAGCACCGCAAACCCTCACGATCCGCGCATTCCACAACACGCCACTGAAGCAGCAGTCGCACTTCTTCCGCCCCGAAAAGCCCACGGTATCGACATCGCACAATGTTTCCAGGTTTCAGCAAGCGTTCCGACGCGGATACCAGCAGGCTGCATACAACCCGGTGGCACAGGGCGACTTGCGACAGCGCATGCTGTATGGAGCCGGCATCTTCGGTGCCACCCTTTTAGGCATCAACTTTATCTTCAACCGCGAGACCCGCGAGGACGGCGGCATGCCACCGTTCGAGCGCGAATACCTCAACGACACCTTCATGCACACTGGCCTCGGTATTGGAATGATCGGCATTGCTGCCCGCGCGCTGCACATGAACGGCTGGAGCTTCAGGCTCATGAGCGCAAACCCATGGCTGGTACTTGGAGTTGGCCTGGTTGGAAGCATCGGCACAATGTATGGCACTATGGCTACCTCGCCGTCTAAGTAAGTGTGGAGATGGATACTGTTTTGCAGAGTAAATATGCTAACCCGACGCAGCTACGTCCAAAAGTACGCTCTCTGGACTGCCTTCAACGGTACCCAAGCCCTCCTTCTATCGCCGCTCTTCTTCATGCACCCTGCCATCCTCGCTCGCGCCGGTCTCTACACTGCTGGAATGATGGGTTCAATCGCTTTCGTTGGTAAGTTGTGGCCCGTACGGAATGCATGTGAGACACATACTGACTTCTTATCTTCAGGTGCTACCGCAAAGACAGATAAGTACCTCTACCTAGGCGCACCGCTTTTGGGCGGCGTGGCCATTGTTGCGCTCTCTGGTCTTGCTCCACTCGTCATTCCCGCCACCGCTGCCCGCACACTTATGTTCACCGAGAACATCTGGCTATACGGTGGACTTGCCGTTTTTGGAGGCTTCACATTGGCAAGTGTTAACTGTACGACATGCACGTGAAAAAAATACTGACTTCTCTGCAGTACGACGTACAAAAAGTATTGAATCACGCCCGCCAGGCTGAGCGCGGCTTGATCCCCAAGGATCCCGTCAACGAGTCCATCTCGCTCGAATTGGACTTCATCAACATCTTCGTCCGCATGGTCCAGATCCTGGGCATGAGCCAGAACAGGAGGAAGTAAACATCTTGGGATAATGGCATAGGGAAGCCTGCAAGTTACTTAGGAGACTTGCCCATTCTTCGTCTTCGTTGAACATGCTATGAGTTTTGGCTATAGCTGTATATAACTCCTCTCTTTGGGCTTTTTTGCACTGATACATACCACAAATGAGCAAAAACAGTTGAAATCGTTCCCTCATACACGTCTTGTTGACATTCTCGTTGACGACGGTCCGTCGCGCTGTATATGTAACTCCACTTGATTATCTGTCGCTCTGATCCACACCGAGGAATTGAAGCTTCCACCGGCTTACTTCCTGCACCATGAAAGAAAACTTGAGTCGCATGTATTTGCCTGCTCTCTCAGCTAGACTTGATCTCGTAGCTTGCTGCTACCGCAGTGGTAATCTCATCGCAGAGCGCTTTCAACTTAATCCGATCTTGCAATTCGGGTAGTGTAGGCGCCCATCTCAGCCATTGGCCCACCGCATCTCTGAGGCGTCCTCGATGGTCTTTTGTAGCGATATGAGCAACGCCAGTTGAAGGATCGTCCGGGTTCGGAGGAACAAGAGCTGCGCCGGCACGAACCATCATCATCGTTATTTCAGCATCCTCCATAGCACGAAAATTATTTCTAGTGACCATGTACTTGGATTCCATCCATGTGCCCCAACAAGTCCTCGCATCATTTCCAGACAATGCTATACTGTCGTTCGGGTCGCTGACAGAACGGATAAGAAGATCGATCATGCCCGGCGCGCATGGAAAGTCGCGTTGAATCAAAAACCTTGTATTCAACAGTGGCTGCATAAAGGCGTGATATAGAAGGCTGTATCTCGAAGTTTCTTGGCCGCCTTCCAGCTTGCGGAGGGCGTTGAAAGTTTTTGGGTCGTGCCTTTGGGCGAAACGTGTGAAACCGAGTTCTATTGCTAGCAGAACAGCATTTGTGTCCAGTGACAGATCGGAAACTGGAGAGAGAGACGACTTCTCATCGTTTGTTCCATATAGAGACGCAAAAGCGAGACGGTTGAGTAGGCGGGACATGTCCGAAGGCGAATTCTGTTCGACCACCCGCGTATAAGCAACGGCGCTCAAGAAAACCTCCTCATGATCATCGGTACCTCGTAGCTGCTGGTTGTACAGGGCGTAGCAGGACATATATGCCAAAATCTTGCTGGCGTCGAAAGCGTCGTCACTGATGTGCAAGCAATCCAAGACCCAAATGTTTGGAGTACTGAGGAACTCGAAAACCGTGCGGTGCATGAAATCGATGTGAGAATCGCTGTTGTCGGTGTATTGGTAGACCTCCAGGAGTCCTCTACACCGACTACGCAAACGGCCTTCGAACATTGTGGTTCTTGCTTGCCTTTCATCGAGACTAGGTTCCGTGAAATCTCCCATTGCGCGTGTCTCCATGTTCTTCTCATGGGCCCAGGCTAATCTGACGGCTGATATATGGGATTCGAGCCGTAGTGAACGGTGGATGTAACAGACTCGCAGAAGTTGCGCAGCCTGTCGGAGGTAGCGAGCAGGAAGGCCGTTGAGTATATGACGAAAGAGACTCTCAAGTTCTGGTGGTAATTCATCAACGCGAAGTCGTAATTCCTCTACGCTATCGTAGGCCTCGAACCCCTCAATGAGCGCGCGGCACGCAAGCACGACCCAAAGGAACACACCATCTGCTTTGCTTCGTACATCACTCACGAGGGCCTTGAGAGTCGCAGCGCTGTAGTTTGCGGAGCAAGCGTGTAATTGCACGGCGTCATTAACGTATCTACCGATATCCGATGCCGTAAGATCTTGTAATCTCAGCTTAGGCGCAGATGAGAAGGCTGCCACGCAGGTATCGATGGGCCTACTAGACACGATGATCTTGATGTTCGTGCTCGCGACAAGATCTTTCACGAATAATATGCCATCTCGGTGATTGCCAGCAAACTCGTCGAGACCGTCGATGAAAAAAGCATAAGCGCCGGTTGTCTTCTCTGCGCCGAGTTTTTCGAACGCAGTTTTTGTTTCGATATGAGATGGAGCTCTGAGGTCGACAACGCCGCTTTGAGCCTCTTGCCACATGTCGGGGAGTACCAAGGGAATCAGTGTGGGGTTCTTCACGAGAACATGGTGCAGTAACCCCCGAGCAAGACCCTCTTGTGAGCTCTGCTCGGGTGATCCAATGTTCCACAGGAAGAACGAGGCCATGGTCAGCTTTCTGTTCCCCGCCCATGTTTGTAATGAGGACATGGTCTTGGAGTGATTGTAGAGAAATTTCTGGTAAGTTGGAGACATGATCAGTGTGTATTCCACGTGCTAATTGAAAAGGGAGACGACTTACCATGAGTGTGGATTTTCCGCTGCCAGGCTTACCATGTATCCAGTAGATCCTACGTCCACTTTGTAACCACTGATCTAAATCATCCCATGCAGCCCCAGAAGCAGGTGGATTGATGGCCCACTCCAGAGTTTTGGAGTGAGCCTCAACGATGTTGTTTCTTCTTTCGTCGATCAAGCGAAACCAAAGACGGTTCAGAACCAATTGCGCACACCTTCGCTCAATCGCTGTTTTGGTGACACTGACCAGATCGCCGTTGTCGATTACAGAAGCGTCCATCACCAAATTCAACTCTTGCACGCTGTCCAGTGCTTGGATCTCCTGCTTCAACACGGTGCGAATTTGATTACCGGGTATCACTCGGTCCATATCCGTAATTAGATTCGATAGATCTCGAACGAGAACTTCGAACTGTTCCTTGTCTTTGATGACCCACTTGATCGTATCGGAGATGGAGAATTTGCTCTTGCTACCGCCGCGTGGGATGTAATACGAAAGGTCAGATTGATCAGGCTGAGATGTCGGGTATCGGGTCCGCAAATCCAGTGACTGATCTTGTATACTTGACGACAATCGATTGCTAACAGCCGTGGAGTGTTCAATCACTTCCTGTGCGCCAGCTTGCCTCAATCCGTAGCGTTTCTGTAGCTTGTGGCCATCTTGCAGAATCTGACGGATGCAAGCAAGACCGTTGTGCATAACACGCGCGATGATGGGATCATCTAGTCGTGTGTCGTAATCGCTATTGTCGTAAAGCTTCAAACGATTTGCCCATTGTAACAACAAAGTTTTCTGAAAGTCGAGTCTTGTGGCAAGTAGAATATAGTCTTTGTCCATAGATTTTGCGGCACCTATCTGTGACAAAAGCGTGACACAGTCTTCAAAAACACCGACGAGAGCGAGCGCACCGATAGCGAGGCCCGCGGCTTCCATTGTCGTCGCTCGTCAGGTTCAGGGAGCGGAAAGACGATTCGTTGCAAGACGTGCGAACCAAGGTTTGTGTGCTCCGCCAAAACCGCGGCTTGGTGATTGTGCTCAGAGGTGAAGCGACAGCGTCGCGTCTTATTTACAGTGCCCCGTCCAGGCTGTGCGGCCGCAGGAGGCAACATTCTGCAGCCTGTATCGAGGGGTAAGCACGCATAGCCTCACGACTTTACTTAGATGTGTGTGCCAGCGAAGCGGCCTCAGCTCACTGGCTATATGCTGCGACACCACCGACGCCACTTTCCGCAAAGTCAACAGTGCATGTCTACCTTGCCGAAAAGGCATGCTTCAAGCATGCCGACAAGTAGGCGGCTGCGTCGCGCCAGCCTCTGCGCCATCTCTCTCGTGCACCGGAAATCAGGCTCAGCTGGAGTGAACGCGTAAGTGACAGCCGGCGCCTCACAGGCGAGTAACTTTGGGAGGAAGACGTCTTTGTGAAGGTTGTTAAATTTAGTAGGAGGGCATCTGAACAGCTAGGCCTTTAACCTTCCGTCAATGATCTCATGTGTGGCGGCTAGTGCAGCCGCATTGGATCTAGCGTTGCGTCGCACATCGAAATCCACATGCATCAGCCACCTCGCTCTGCCAATGTGGGTCACTCCGCATCACATCAGCATCAGGGAGTATAATCAGAAACCAGACACATTCCGCTGGAAAAACAACATCTCGACCCCCACCACCGTGCCACTCTACCCGTAAGCTTGGCAGGCTTCGGTATACCTTGTCAGGCAAACGCCGCGATCGGACCATTGCTACTCCGACATGACTCGGAACCAAACAAGGCCTCCGGCACAGTATCCACCCAATTACAGTAGTCGGATCTGGGCGATCTTGGTACTGACCACGTGCGGGAGGGAAGAGTGCATGAGGCTCTGCTCCGTTCTATGGTGGAGCATGCGCAGGGCGGATGTGGAGTGCATGAAGCACATGACGTGAAATGCGCGAGAGGAATTATGCGTCGTTAGTAATAGTGATTGAGCATGGCACACATCATCCAGAAAGCACGAGGAAGTGAAGGAATTGTTGTTGTTCATGTTCTTATTCATTCATCGTATCTCATGGTCATATGGACCTATTTGGTATCATCATTGTGGGTATCAGCCAGCGGCTCAACCGCTCAACATGCTCTGCACTGCAGACAAGATCTGGTGAAAGGGCATGCTTAAGCCTTCTCGTTGTGGTTGGAGCCGTCAACGACCTCAACTGCCTTAACGCCATCCTTCTCGCTGTGCATGCTGCCAGACTCGATATCCTTAACGGGCTCAATGTTGGCACCGATAGGACCAGCCTCCTCGAAGTGACGACCCTTCTTCTCGGGGCCAAGAGCAGTAGTGACAGCAATACCGAGAGCGATGATTGCAGTCGCAACAGCCATGACTGGTCCGTAAGCGGGAGACTGCTCGCCCTTTGCAGTGCTGATCATAGTGGCCTCGGCGACGGCGTTGACGATCTGAGCGGAGGGCGAGGAAATCATGTTTCCGAGCTGGTAGGTGATACCGACGAAAGAGGATCGAAAAGCAGGTGGTGACAGCTCGCTCAAGTGGATGGGAATGACACCCCAAGCACCCTGGACAAAGAATTGGATCATGAAGCCAGATGCGGATAGACCACGCTCAGTGGTGGGGAGGACCCAGGCGGGGATAAGGCAAGCGGAGATCAAGGCAGCGCAGACGATCATGCGGCGACGACCGAACCATTGCGAGGTGTATCCAAGAATGGTACCACCGACACAGGCACCGGTCTTCATCAGGATGGAAGCACGGGTAGCACCTGCGGGGCTGAGATGCTTCTGCTCCTTCATGAAAGTAGTGTAGCTGTCTTGGCTCGTGTGGGAGTAGTAGTTGAACTGATAGATGTTAGCGGCAGTTCATCAACTTAGAAGCGGCCTGTCATACCCAAGTCATGAGGATGATGCAGTAGACACACATCTTCCACTCCTTGCGGAGCATCTGCTTTGTCTCCGCCCAGAAGGCACCGGGCGCCTTCTTGTGTCCAGCCTTCTTTGCCTCTAGGAACTGCTTCGATTCAGGGAAGCATACGCGGATGAGACCGACAGCGATCGAGAAACCGGCGCCGACCCAGAAGACGGTCTTCCAGGTGTTGGTCGCACCACCGACACCCAAGTTGGCGCAAGCTGCGAGCACATAACCGAATGAGTAACCTTGCTGTAAGATACCACTCATAAGACCACGGGCGTTGACCCTGCGAATGTCAGTATGGGACTTCCATGTAATTAACTCAGATGTACTTACGGGCAGTTCTCAAGCGCCATGGAGATGGCGTTTCCGTAGACACCTCCCATGAAGAGACCGAAGAGACTCCGTACAGCCAAGAATTGCTGGAAAGTTCCAGCGTAGATGGTAGCAACCTGGAGAAGACCCAAGATGATCATGTTAAGAACCATGGGCCACTTTCGACCGAACTTGTCGCCCGCCACGCCAAACCTAAAAATGGGTCAGTATTTGTCTCACATACAGTTCGTACATGGGTATTACTAACATAGCAGCACCGACGGAGCGGAGAAGCAGTGTCAGGGTGATGGCCGTCGAGATAGCAGTGTTCGAGGTGTCGTAGTAGTCGGCAAGCTTGGTAGTCTGAATTGACAGCGCGTGGAAGTCAAAGGCATCGGCAGTCCATGCGAGGAATCCGACAAGGAAGTAGAGCCAATCCTTCAAGCCGAGTTGAGCGAACAGGCTGATGGGATTTTTGAGAGGCTCTGGCTTCTGCCACTCGCAGTGCTCCTCGCCGTAGTCATTGCGAACGACTACACGTTGGTCCCAAGTGAAGAGATCCTTGAGACTCTGTTTGGCGGTGGGGATGATGCCCTTCGCCAATGGGTCTGCTGGGCGGTTGGTGCTCGCCATGGTGCTGATGGTAACTTGAAATGAGCTTGAAGGCAATGAGAAGGTAAGAAGACTGCCCTGTAGATGTAGGCGCAAGTCCGATCGCACTGCTGATTTCAAGATCGAGCGCGGGGGAGCTCATTATATACCCGCAGTCATCTTGGCTGACCAGAACGCCTCGTAACGATACTATCAACGCCCATGTCAGTCAGCCGCTGAGTCTTGATGCGAGCCAAGTTCCGCCAAGTCCGTCCGTGCATTTGTTGTTGGCGATTTGCAGTGAATGTAACCATCTCCGGTCCGCCAAGAGCGCTATTTTGCACTAAGCCTTCCGGTGGGCCAAGCTAGCGCTTGTGCGCAAGTGACAAAACAGAACATGTCCCGGGGTCGGATCGGACGTATCAGTGCGTTCTCTCAGAGCGGAGGAAAGAAGTGGGTGTGACGATCCTACGACGCCGTTGACATCTTCCCCATGGGGTCGCCCTTTGAATTTCCCGCAAACGTGGTAACTTTCCGACTACAGATTGCGCGACCACACCACACATACTTCGTTGATATGCGTAGTAACACCGAAAACCGTTCTGTGCTTGTGTCCGACCAAGCTCCGCAAGCGCTGGCGAAGCTTCCTCGCGAGACTTGCTCGCAAAGAAGCTTCGAGCCAGTGAAGCAGCCACAAAACTTGGCGACTGACCCCGCAGCGAAGAGCTGTGCCGCCGCGGCTGCCGAAGCTTTTCTCGCCTCGTTGTAAGCCAAGATGGAGAACGGCACATACGACGGCCAAGATGCTTCGTCGTCAGCCGAGCGCCCTTGAGTGGGCTTCTTTCAACACCCATCCTTTGTTCATAGAGGCCCGTGGCAACGTCCCAACACCGCGCCTTCAGCTATTGTTAGTGATCGGACAATACGCATCCGGTCAAACTGTTGGTCTGGACTGCTTTTGGTGTTTTGTGCGGACTAAGCACTGGCGCAAGGCCTGGTGGTGCTGCTTGCGGTCCCTGGGTGGTTGGATGTTTCGCGCACGCGGCAGAGTGAACAGCAAGCGCGCACGAGACATGAAGCGTGAGCGGGGACAATCCGGTCTTGGCGGTAGAGGTGTGCTGGCTAACATGACCTGACCTCAACCTTGCTGATGCGCGAAAAGACCAAATATGGTTCGGTACATGCTCAGGATTGGGTGGATGAAGGAGAGATGTGGGGATGACGGCGGAGGCGATAACGTTTGGACGGGGGAAGGCCCCCCGTGTCCTCGCTAAATCCTTCACACCAAGACTCCGAGTTCAAACGCCGAAACGACTACAATTACTCGTGTCTACTCTTGGACGTGGTAACAATTGCATAATATCGTATCCACAGTTGTGGCCTGAGGAAGGGCATGCGCCCACGGAGGCCGCATTTCTTCACGGCTTCCGGTTCGAGCCCCGAGACTCTGGCTATACGCGCCGAAATTGTGCCTGATTAAATCCTTCGCAATAGTTGAATTCGGTATGAACTACCACTATCTAGCCGAAGATTTGCGTAGCTCGAACGGATGCAAGCCACAACCCCATCTTCACCGGAAGACCTACAATGGTTAACCTTCTCAAGAGATAAGGGTCTGTCTAATTTTGAAACGGATGGATTGACTTGCGCTCTAGCTAGATCACCCACTTGCGCATGCATCATGCATTCTACTCTTCTAACTTGGCACAGATCTAGGCACAGCGGGATATGGGGAGGGGAAAATACCGAACACGGTCCTGGCAGCGACACCAATCACACGCCGTGCGAATCCACCCGGTAGCTCCTGGCCCTGCATGAGTGCGGCTCTTAGTTCGGATGTGGCAACTGCTTTTGACCGCGGCCGCAAATCCATGCGTCTACGCGGGATGTAGATCGTTCGACTTCCTCGAGTGATCCGGAAACACTTCTTCTGGGCGATATCAAGTCGACTTGATGGAGCAAGACAAGCGTTGGCATAGTAGTAGCGAACATTCAGATGCACTAGTTGAAGGCGTTGAGCACAGTATATGATCGCTATTCGGTGCCGTATTCCGACAGAAACGTGGTAGTCACTGCCATTACACCGATCGCGGTCACGACAGGATGAGACTCTCCGGTATTCATTCC